CACAGTAAGCAAGATAAATACAATCAAAGAAAAGGTTTCCGGATGGTGGTATGATACTTATGCAACAGTGCATGTATCGTATGACAATTTTTTATTCAGGATATATTATGAGGTGGATAGAGACCAAGAGATCCAAATGGATAACGAAGTCTGATATAAGGTGATTGGAAAAGGAAACGTGGATATTATCTTCACTTCTGGCAAAATCGTTACTTTAACCAATGTTTTACACGTGCCAGATATGAATAGAAATTTGTTTAGTGGAAATTTCTTAGGAAAATTGGACATCAAATGTATTTATGAGTTTGGTAAACTTGTATTATCCCTAAACGAGAAATTTTTTGGTAAAGGTTATTCTTGTGAAGGAATTGTCAAACTCTGTACAGTTGACAAGTTGAATAATAATAAAGATGATTTTGCTTATATTGTTGATTCTTTTACTTTGTGGCATGCCAGATTAGGACACATAGATAAAAGTACTATAAAAAAAATGTTAAAATCTAATTTGATCGTCTCTGATTGACATCTAGCAATGTGTCAGTGCAATACATGTGACGGGAAATGTCACGTGGTATGACAAAACCAAATTCGTTCGTTTACCGTGAAACTATAATCCCTTCGTCAATATGATCCGATCAATTACGAGATATGAAATTGTGTCAATCTCGATCATCGATCATAGCTTTCACTCCACTATTAAGTCAATATAAATCGAAAACTCCTTTTCGACTTATGAGTACACCTTGGCCAAGGATTTCATCATTGACTTAATTGAATGAAACGCAGATCATAATCTCCTACTATCTAAGAGTGACGAATCCTTTACTGATCAATCACAACCTTCATACGATTCTTGACGTACCCGAACGATGTCGTATTAGTGGCCCTTTTCAGAGCAACATCCAACACCGCCAAAGTATGACTGTCCTCATATAAGGTACCATGACGACTTCAAGTCAAACGACCAATTTCACTACCGAACGTTAGAGATTAACCACCGAAACTCAGATAGTTATCCATGTGGAATCTCTCGACGGGTCTCCAATGTTTTGTTCTATAACAAACATCCACGTGTTCATTTAAGTGTCACCACACTTTAACTTGTGAGATCAGCTACTTACTTCACAAGTAAGAAATGCCACACGTGATGGTCTATCCGTAATAACGATATCCGTATCTCGTTATTACTTACGACCACGGATGATTTAAGATTCAATCAGATGTAATTTGTATCTCACAATCACAACTCCTTGTGATTAATAAATTACAAATATTTGAATCTATGGACTCTATTATTTATTTAATTGTCTATTAATTAAATAATAGATCTGCCATTTAATTGCATTAATTATATATGAAAGTATTTATGTCCAAAGTCGATTGGACCTAGGGCATAATACTTACAATTGTGACCATAGTAAGCAAGATAAATACAATCAAAGAAAAGGTTTCCGGATGGTGGTATGATACTTATGCAACAGTGCATGTATCGTATGACAAGTTTTTATTCAGGATATATTGAGGTGGATAGAGACCAAGAGATCCAAATGGATAACGAAGTCTGATATAAGGTGATTGGAAAAGGAAACGTGGATATTATCTTCACTTCTGGAAAAATCGTTACTTTAACCAATGTTTTACATGTGCCAGATATGAATAGAAATTTGTTTAGTGGAAATTTCTTAGGAAAATTGGACATCAAATGTATTTATGAGTTTGGTAAACTTGTATTATCCCTAAACGAGAAATTTTTTGGTAAAGGTTATTCTTGTGAAGGAATTGTCAAACTCTGTACAGTTGACAAGTTGAATAATAATAAAGATGATTTTGCTTATATTGTTGATTCTTTTACTTTGTGGCATGCCAGATTAGGACACATAGATAAAAGTACTATAAAAAAAATGTTAAAATCTAATTTGATTTCATACAATGAAAATGAGGTATTTAAATGTAAAACATGTGTTGAATCTAAAATGACTATGAAGCCACATCGAAGTGTAAAAGAACATCTAGCATCCCAGAATTAATTCATACTGATATTTGTGAATTATATAGCATGTTAACTAGAGGTGGGAATAGTTACCTTCATTGATGATTTCTCTAGACATACATATATGTATTTGATGAAGCATAAACATGACGCATTTGATATGTTTAAAATATATAAGAATGAAGTTGAAAATCACTTAGGCAAGAAAATAAAGACTCTGAGAAGTGATAGAGGCGACGAGTACTTCTCTAGTTATTTTAATTTATTTATTATTATTATTTTTTTGTGAATAACATTGTATCATTCACCAATGTTTTGTACCTAGGAAACCCGAACAAAATTGTTTGCCTAAAAGAAAAAATAGAACCTTAGTAGAAATGATAAATGTCATGTTAACTTATGCTGAGTTGCCATTAAATTTGTAGGGTAAAGCTTCATTGAGTGCGTGTAGGATACTAAATAGGTTTTCTTCAAAACATACAAAGATTTCTTTATATGAATTGTGGAAAGGAAGAAAATCGAATATTGGATACTTCAAAGTGTAGGAATGTCTTGTTTATTGCAAGAACATGAACCATAATATGACTAAATTGGGTTCAAGAAGCATTAAATGTGCCTTTGTTGGATATGCTAGTAATAGCAAATCATCCAGATTGTTGAATTGGAGACCTACGTGATTATTAAATCCAATAATGTAGAATTTTTTGAGAATTCCCTATCTACGAATAATGAATTGAGGGAAAATCATAAAGATATCCTTAGCTCAAGTGAAACATAAGATGAAACATCTTATAAAGACGTTGATGAGTCTATTAAGCCACGAAGAAACAAAAGAACTCGAACTGAGAAGTTTTTTAGACCGAACGAAGTTGACTCTCTACTTATTTCCTTTTACTTAGTAGATGGAAATGAGGTGATTGTTGTAATGAGGTGGTTGTTGTAAGAAGAATTCTTTTTGTTCTATGGGTGGAAACTAATCCTAAAATTTATAAAGAAGCTATGGCTTCACGTGAAAGCATCTTTTGGAAAGCTGCAACTAAGGATGAAATGGATTCAATAATGTCCAATAATACGTGCGAACTTGTCAATTTATCACCCGGATCCAAACCTATTGGATGTAATTGAGAACATAGCAGATTCTTTTTAGAATCATTAAATAGAGATTTAGTAGCGCCTACTTCGAATAGGATGGAGTTGAAATTCCTAAACTAAAAGGTCAACCGATGATGGTAACATTATCCGTCATTACTCAAAAGGTCATCCACGGGTTCAAAAGTTAACAATAGCTCATTCAAATGTGGATAGTTTCAGCATTATTAAAATCAACAAAAAAACCCTATCCTAATAAGTAATGCTGATTGTTACTGAAATGAGGGTTGAGCTCAAAGCTTTTAATGAAGTTCAGTACTAAGTATAAGTATTTCTAAAATTAATAAAGATACTGGAAGAGCCCCCACTAGCATGGCGCAGTGGTAAAGTAGGAGGGTTCTATACGGAGCATCGAAGATCCGAATCCTCGTGGCAACTGTAAGGCAACATTTATGTTGGAAGACAACTGTCTTGTAGAGGCAAAGTTATGGTGATTTTTGTCGTCCCTCTGGGGGTCCTATCTGCACGTCATAAAAAGAGGTCTATAGGGAGGAGAACCGCATCCTAAATATCCGATCCAAATGTGTATAAGCTGGAGACCACATCTGAATTTATCGGGTAACAAACCAAGGGGAAGGCCGCCACTCCTTATGATTAGTCAAGCGTAGCTTGGATACCTGAATTATTAAAAATAATAATAATAAATAAATAAAGACACTGGAAGAACTTCACCTAATGAACTTCGAGGTGGTGCTGTCTCAATAGAGAGTTAGAGTTTCTCTCATAAAAGTTCGTTGAATAGGATGAACGCAATGTCATATTAGTGCTAAGTGAGATTGAGGAACTTGAGAATGCACGGTACTTGTATGTGTATTTTTGCTGGTATTGTCAAATGGAATAACTGATTCAAAGTTTAATGCTACTTTTGATTCTGAATTTACTTTGTTTGAATTACAATATGGTTAGATTCAAATCAAAAGAGATCTAATCGTTATGCATAAGTATTGTTAACTTTGAATATGAGACTTAATTGAATTTTTGAATAGGCCAAAGAGGCATGCAATTGCATGGTCATTTACAGAAATGTGGGGTCATATTAAACTAAACTATGTGACCGCATAGTTTTGTGCTATGTGATCGCATAGAAGGAAATTTTGACCGTTTTTATTCAAATTTTGGTTGCCTTTCATTATAAATTTGGCACATTTTCGTGAGAACTGACCAAGGCCTATATATAGGTGATCAATTTTCAATGCAAAAACAATAAAAAAACAAGTGATATCGATATTTATTACCACAAAGCAAAGATCAAAATCTTGTTTTCTTCCACGTTCAAAGTTTCCCCTGGTGTTCTTAAAGTTTTGAAAAGTTATACCAGTGCTTAAGTGTTAAATATTTTACAAGATTTGATTAATCCTTCAAACTATTTACCAAAGAACCATTTAAGCACCAAAATTGTATTCGAGAGAGGACAAATATCATTTGAGAACAATGATATCGTGTTCGAACCTTCATCATCATTTTCATTTACTTGATTTTATATCTTGTTTCTTCTCCACTTTCCTTGGTTGTGAAATATTTCCCAACGTAAAGTGTTGCACTTCGTTCTTGTAAAATTTCATCTTACGAAAAAACACACACCAAAAAATAAATTTTTACTATCAAGTCACTTTTAACTTTGTCAAAGAGACCCTTAAACTCCTTAAACGTCTAGTGGAATGTTTGATCAAACTTAAAACTAAGTTTTATTTATAAAAGTAAATTTTTATTTTAAAAAGTACTCGGATAAATTTTACTATATTTACTTTAAAGTAAAAAGAAAAAAAAATTAAACAGTTGCTTAATAACTAGGCCAATATGATAATTAAAATATTAATCATTTACACAGTATTCGAAATCCTTTCAAATGATCAAATCAGGCTAAAACAGCATAAGATATAACATTAGTACCAACACTCATTTTCTATATTGCACTTTTACATGAAAAAATAAATTTCTTTCAATTTGCCTCTTTCATAAAGCTAACACGATTTTTACTCTATAAAACATGAATGAAAATAATCACCTTCAGAAATCAAAGTCAAGCTCAAAATTTACATGGCTTCATAAATCTAAATTCATTTTCTTCTGCTAAAATTCGAAGAACAGAAAGTTAGGAACTGAGAACCTATACAGCACCAGAAAAAGAGAAGTTTAAGCGTCGTTTACTGTTTACTTTGGAACGAAACCTCCACTCAGTTAGCCGGAACAATAACTTTTAAGCTTCCAAACAAAATCTATAGCTCCATTTTCGACGGTCCTACACAATTTGATCAAATAGTGAGCATAGGAAATTGGGGAGGAAATACTTGACACGAATATTGGACCAACATGTCGTGAAATCATAAAAGCTCGGGGCAATTACCATTTGGTCCCAAATTGCTACTCGGGGGATTAGCATCAAATCCCATTTGGAGAATACTTTGAAGATCATTGTTCCAAAGAGCCTGCAAAATATATATGCATTATATTGTTACTTATAAACGGAGTACCATAACAAGTAAAAGCTGAGAGATCCTTTTTTTTTTTTTTTACCTGAGGTAAGGGATGATATGGAGGATTAGCACCTGGGACACCAAAAGTTCCTGGGGAAAATCCCGGGAAAGGATGAGACGAACTCAATCCAGAACCAATTCCGAGAGCAGCTGGATTGTTACCTCGAAATTGAAGTATCTAAACACAGTGAACTTGTAAGATTATTTGCATTTCTTGTCACGTGTCAAAGAAGTAAAGCAAAACGAATGGATCTTATCTCACATCTTTGGATAAAATCCGATCTATATCAGTGTCCAATTCTGGATTTACAGTTGCAAGTTTCATTGACAAAAACTGCAACAAGAAAGGTAAAGCATCAATATTTGATCATAATTTACAAGATGATAAAGAATGATATTGATTTATCATTGAAGTAAATTGTATTAGCATATCAGAAATGCAAAAACATTCATGTGCTGCAAAAACAATAACTTCAAACCTTCCAAAAAATCTGCATAACTAGTTTGTGAATAGTTTCTCACCCATGACTAGGACTTTTTTACGTTTCTAAGAAAACTCCAGGAAACAGATATACATATTGACCAACTCACTTAGACATGGTAAGGAAAAGCAACAAATCCTTGTCAAAGTTCTATTGCAAGGAAATTTGTTGGACTCTAAGGAGCTTAATATACTCTTCATTTATTTTCTTGATAGCAGATCTTTAAGGGTCCAAATCCAATTTTGGTGTGAGAGAAGGGTGATTCTTAGTCTCTTTTTTCTCCATCATGGTGAAAAATTGCAGCGGCAAGTGTAGGTAAATCACGCGTTAAGAGCGACCCACTATAAATTCGCACGTTGGCTTTATTTATTTATTTATTTATTCTGTTTCTATTGCTCTGTAAGTAGGGAATATGGCTTGCTAACAAATATTCCAGAATACGGAGGACAATCCTCATCTAATTTTATTACAGTGACATGGGAATTACAATGTTCAAATCAATAAAACTAATCTTCTCGTACCAGCAAACATATAATTTGCCAAAACTCAAATATGCATACCTCAACCTGTTGTTGCAACGATTGAACATAGTTTATAATCTCATCAAGCATCACCGCTTTCCCAGTGATCTTCAAAATTGAAATTACGAAGACTCAGTATCAGTAATCCTCCACATATATATACTAAAAATTTTCACTGAAAAAGCCAGATACCTTATTGCAGCCAGGAACCAATTCTTGCAGCAATCTCATTCTTTCACTAATCCTCTCTCTTCTCACCTGAAAACAAAATAGAGTTCATAGTCATATTCTCCGAAAACAAGAAGAGATTTTCAGTAAAATTATAGGTTTAAAAGGAGGAGTTCATTACCCTTTCTGCAAGGCTATGACTATTTGTTGCCTGTCCCCTTTTGGCTCTTACATGTATGTAATTTTCTTTAGAAGGTTCTGCAGTAGTAGAACTATCCTTAGCTTGTTTAACCACTTGCTTATTGCGCAAATTTGCACCAGCATTTTGTTCAAATTTCTGTTTCTTATCATATTCTTCGTTTGGGAATTCAGAAATGTCCTCGGGTGGATCCTTCTGGCATTCAACTTCAATATTCTGAGACAAATAACAAGCCAAACGGCAAAAGGTCATAAGACATTGAATGTATGTTTGGTTCGTCGTACTGAATGTGACTCCACAATATGATGAACACGATTTTCCTTAATACAGTCCACTACTATTTATCAACTTTAAACTTCTACAATACAACAGTAATCTCAAAATTATTCTTACAAGTTACCTTAGGTGAAGCTCCCATTGATACTTTTCTTTTCCTCTTTCCATTAGGTGAAACTCCTACTACTCCATCTTCTGAATTTTGGCAATGCTCCTGAGAATCTGCAACGTTTGTTAAGGCCATCTCAAATCCGCTAACATTGTTTCGAGCATAAGTTGGATGACGTATGGTTCCAGTAATTGGGCCACACTCTGTCACCGGGAAAGAACTGACCATTTCTGGGTAGCTTCCACTTCCAAAACTCGGAATCTTTGGCATCATATCAACTAAACCTGACTCGGATGGGAAATTAACGGTTTGATTTTCCAGCACAACTGAATAATTTGAATCGGGAAACTCATTTCGAGGAACAACCGAAGAACCTCCGAAATTCCCACTCGGATTCAATGAAACAATGGTATCCCAACCTGAACCATAAAAATGGTCTACCCCATTTCTCATCTTGAACATGGATTCTGAACTCATTCCTGTTCCTGGAACCTTTTCGTATATTGAATTCTCAACAATCCCAGAAGAGGGGCAATTCAGAATGCTATCCCCTTTCCTCTGCTGGAATCTCCTACCCACATTATCCTCACTATCCATGATCGAGAAAATCCCAAGAATTTTAGAACTAATATTTCAACCTAACTTCGAGTCACCCCCTAATTCAACAAAAAACTAGAACCTGAACCTGATAGAGTTGTATAACAGAAGGAACTATCTGACTAAAAGGAAAAGTGAGGGTTTGACTAAAAATAGCTGGTAATATCTTGCAACACTCAACAAGGAACAAATAATCTTGGCAGCTTTACAGAATTGAGAATGCAAGTTAAAGAAAAGCAAAAGAAACCCCTTATTGCAGCATCTTGCAACGGCACAAAGGAAAAGATGAAAAATCCAATATACTAAGCATAAAATCTACTTAAACCCCCATTTCAAGAACCCTAGGATGAAGTCTATTTCATCATCATATAGAAAAAGTATGAATCTTACCTTAAAGTAGACAGTGGAAAATTGAAAGGGAATTGATAAGCAACAGCTCACCGGATTAATGAAAAAAAGCAGATTCCCTTTATTCCCCCTCTTTTATCTATGATATTCCACGGTAAATTATAATCAACAAAATTAAGCACGTAATTATAATACAAAGAAAGCAAGAATCTAAAAACTGAAACGAAAATGGTGCCAAACAAGGTCTTATTTGGGCAAAAAATACCCGCTGCTCAACAGAAAAAGCTCCGAATTGCAAACTCAATAACTCCACAAGAATCACAGTTTTAGGAATACTTGATATTCTGAGTATGGGGTAGCGAGAATTGACCAAAAAGCACTTAATTCTACTGAAATTGCAGAGGGAAACAGAATATTATGAACAGAGTCTGAGGGCAGTAGTACACTGTAAACCTATAAAGGGCATAGGATGGTACCCTTAAGAGCATCAAATGCTTGCTTAAATTCTACAAGAAAGATCAATTTTTGCCAACTGTGGGTACTTGCAGAAACAGCAAAGGAAGCATCAAGTTCCTCTCTTTATCACAGATCAGAGACAATATATATACACAACTATATATGACCGACAGCTTAGAGGGATAGAGAGGGGAGAGGGGAGAGGGCAAAAATAAAAAATAAAAATCTACTCTTTTAACTGCAAGCAATGTTATTCATTATCATCATGAATGTTAAGTACCAATTTCAAGGACAATTACATAATTTTAATATTAAATGATAAATTTATTTAAATATAAAGTTACGTTAATTAAGGGAGTGTTTGATCAATATTATTTTGATAATAAGGCATTCTTGAATGGTGTATTGATAGAAAATGTATGGTTAAAAAATAAGAAAATGTTTTTGATCTGTGTGTAATATTATTTTATTGAAAAATATATGATTAAAATGATGTCAAATCACTATTTAAAAATGTATTTTTTTGAAATAATTTGACTCAAACAAGCCCTAAATTTATGAAGTGTAGTCACTTAAATTGGTACTCTTTACTGCTTAGAGTGAGGGAGGAGAGAAAGCAAAAGAAAAAAACTACCCTTCAACTGTGAGTAATTCTCTTCATTATCATTAGTGTTAAATACCAATTTAAGTGATAATTACATAACATTAAATGATAAATTTACTTAGACCTTTATTTGTCAACCATTCTATGACATTATTTTTTTTATAGTATTCATTTTTAACCACACATTTTTTATTAAAATAAGGACCATGCTATATAAACATAACGGTTGACATGCGGGATGATCGAACACTTACACCTTGGGGGTCAGGTATTATTTTATTCACGCGGAGTCCACGCTCCATGTGAGGGCCGGTCATTCATTCGGGCACTTCGGCATTATTCTTAAAATAATATTATACATAAATCAAAAAAATTATTTTTTAACCACACATTTCAACATCAATCATTATTTATTAATACACTTTTTGAAATTAAAGAAGCACAAATAGGGCCTAAATATAAAATTACATGACTCATTCATTAATTAAAGTTATAAAGTGTAGACATTAAATTGCTGCTCTACCACTACTGGTATTAGAAAAGATTATTCCCAAGCATTAATCACCATGGAGGAGGCTCCCTTTGGAAAAGGAGTATTTAACCACACATTTCAACATCAATCATTATTTATTAATACACTTTTTGAAATTAAAGAAGCACAAATAGGGCCTAAATATAAAATTACATGACTCATTCATTAATTAAAGTTATAAAGTGTAGACATTAAATTGCTGCTCTACCACTACTGGTATTAGAAAAGATTATTCCCAAGCAAGTTACAGGGTGACATCAATGATTTAAAATTTGTTTGGTTTACATTTTTTTCAATTTAGATTTGTGAAATGTTTAATTAAAATTTAAAAAAAAATAATGAATTCAAATAAAATAATTTTTTATTAGAAGAATATATAATTATGCAACCTTTTTTTCCCCCCAAAACATAGACTAACTACTACTGCCAACTGCTCTAGCAGGTTAAATTATTACAGAACCTAATCTTTCCTGTTCTCCCTCGTTCTTTACTCCTTGTAATTTCCTTTCCCCACTCAACCACACATTTTAATAGTATTAACTTCATAAGCTTTTTTAATCTTCTAGTTTGATGACTACATTTAAATATGTAATTTTAGATATGATGTTTCAACTTATATTAGATCAGACGAAAGTTATGTGTTCGAATCCTCTTACTATTCATTCGATCAATTTTACACGGAACAGATCTTCGATAGAAGTCCGACACATAATAACTACAACCCTTTAAACGAAAACAAATTGCAAGGTCAATTGCAAGTGAAAATTATTATTCGTTGGCATTGATCTTGGATACGGAAAGCAACATGGAGAAAAATCTTAATTTCAACGGTACATTCATAACTATTAATTGTTCACTGTTATTCCTCATGATATTCTTATAAATTTGTTGAAGAGGTTAGGTTCTTCTCTTGAAGGCCAAGCTTGCTTGAATTCTACCTTTTCATATTTTACTGACACATTTGCCAACTATTCTAACTGACCACTCTTTGCTGTTACACACTCATTTTGTTCAGTGCCAACAAACCTAACAATTCTTTGGAACCTCCATTATGCACTTGACTTGCCATCCATCACTCTCCATCATCTCTCTACTCTTCTATTTCTGCCCCCACCAATATATTTAATCATTTCTAAATTAATAAATCTTTAGGATTTGTAAGTAAAAATCTTGTGCTTCAATTATTAATACTCAATATTAACGTTAAATGAATAAGTCATTTTCTCATGAACCCTTCAAGTATGTTTTGGTTTAAAGGTTGCCCTTGTTTAGTTTGGATAAAAATTAAAATTTTAATAATTTTTGAAAAATGTTAATGAATTGTGTGTTTGAAAAGTCATGGATCTCTTGAAATATGTGATAGAAAATAAATTTAAGAAAAAATATTTTTTAAGAAATAAGGGCCAAACACGAGCTAATTATTCTTAAATAATACTATTCATAGTGTAGACTATCGATAATAACCCTACGTTATATATATGTAGCAGTTTGCAATTTGATGCATAAGAAATAAGAAAAATCACCATATTAATATATCAAATAACAAATTATCATATGTATGCAATACAAGACGACTATCGATAGTTTTCACTATTAATATCATTACTTATGATTCTTTCCACTTTTAAATGAGAAGAGTGTAACTAGAAGCAAGGGAATCATGAATTATTAATAAATGAAGTTCGAGTACAATATTCAGGGCCTGTTTGGGCTCAATTTTTTGATCAAAAAAATTGATTTTTTGGCCGTTATTTCACTATTTCAGCCATCATACTTGATTTCTTCTCTCATAGGTGGATCCCACTTTTCTCCTAACGGTCAAAAAATCAATTCTCAAAATCACTCACAAATAGGCTCTCAACTCGAACATTCGAGATTAAAGGAAATTGCGACACAAAGCTTTGACATTAAGTTTTTGTCATGGTTCTCGTGTCCTGTAAATCTTTACCTTTTTGTGCCTCGATTTTTATTATTTAACATTTTCTACTTTTGCATGATTCTCGTTTGTGAAATTCTTAGTTTGCATTAATCTTACAACTTAAGAAGGTGAAAATAAAAGAAATTGAGCAAACTCCCACACACATGACATAACAGATTATGGACTTTTGCCACAAATATTCATAGCCTCCGTTTGGCTCCCATTAAATTACATTACATTCTATTTTTCTCTTTTCTATTATCAATCATACAATTTTCCATAAAATAATATTACACGTAAATCAAAAAAAATTCCCTTTTTTTTAACCACTCATTTTCAAAAAAATACTATTTCACCAATTTTCATTACCAAGTAATGGAAATCAAACGGGGGCATATTATGTACACAACTTGCGTTCTTAATTTATAGGGTCAAGATCTACAGGTCTATAGAGAGTGCTGTAGTTGTGAAGCAGTGTATAATTTCCGATTTCTAAGAGATGCGTATGTTTTTATATATATTGGTTGTCAGTGCAGTCTTTTTCTTTTACTTTGGAGGTTGGGTCAGGAATAAAGGAATCTCTCGTATGCATTTAAATTACCTAATTGTCCTCGTCTAGATCCAGCTGTCAATGTATTTTATATATATATATATATACACAAATAAAATGGCTAGTCCAGTTAGTACATAGATTAAAAAAGCCAGCTAATTGTGTCAAAAGCAGAATTTATCCAGTCAAAATTAAGGCTGTGATCTTGCTGGAATTTCAAGTCATTCCGAAACTAACGGCTCCATTAGTTCCCTTCATCATCCTGTTTGTCGAGTCTTCTCAATGAGAGAAAATTTAGTGGGACAGTCGAATCATGTGGTAGTGCAATCGCTCTATCAGGGTCCACTATCTTGACGGATTAAACTTTAGTAGAGTGGTCACAAGTAAGACAGTCGGACCACGTGGCAGTGTGACCACCCTATCAAGGTGTGCCATCTCGGTGGGTGGCCCACCACACACTCTCGAAGTGTGTGGGCCACCAGCTGAGTGATTGGAGTATTGAATAGTATTAAGACGATTAAACATGTGTTTAATGTGCAACATCATCTACAAAACATGTGTTTTTATTACCAAACTTTTTATGACTAGAAATTTTCTTGATTGTGTTCCATTTAGACTTGATTGAAGACTTTTATTTTGGGCAAATTTCATTCAGGGTAGCTTGAACTTTAAGCACAATATCAATTGGGACACTAAACTAAAATGTAGTTTCAAATATCATCACCATATTATGTTTAGTCACGTATCATCTTTCAAAATGATGTAGATTGTTTAATCGGAAGTGACTTTTCATGTAATCGTTACACAAACACTCTAGAAAGTTGAGTGGTCTTATATAAAATATAGGGATAATTGCAGCTAAGAATCTAAACCTTTCAAACAATGGCAAGCTTTCCATTAATCTTTCAATCGTGGCAACCGTTACTCCAAATCTTTCAAATCGTAACAGCCGAGGTCCCAATGGACGATTTCTATCCAATCAGTCATTATTTGGCCAAAAAATTTAATTTCGATCACATTTTACTGAAAAGAGTAATTTAATATATATTTTTCCATAAAATAATTAATAACTATCGTTGCAGTTGTTATCCCAAACCTTTCAATTTTTTTTATTTTTTTTCCGACTTCAATAATTCTATGTGATTTTATGATCTATCACAGTAAATTGATGTGTTAGCAACTGGGGATTAGGATGGGCAACGATTGAGATGGATGACCTAACTAATTATCAAAGTGGGTACTCACATCAAATCAAATAATTGTTCTTGGTTATGTTGAAGGTTAGATTCGAAATCTGTAAGACAATATGATTCCTATTTGTTGATTTATTAAAGGCAATTGATGTTAGAAAATGAAGTCTTTTATATTATATTCCAAAACGAATCATTAATGTATCAGAAATTTACTAATTATAACAAGCCCTGAACTCTTAATTAATTATCTTATAAAATTGTTTCATGCAACATTATGGTGGTACTAAAAGGCTTTTAGACCAACACCGCAATCACATAGCTGTATTTTTGGTTTAAAATTGTGTCATGTTGGTACTATAGAATCAATAGAATTAGATGTGATTGTCAACCAAAAGAATATT